GTATACGATATTATTTTTGTAAAGGAAGTTTTAGTTTCTGAGTATGGGCTTACGTTTAACATAATTTTTTGTAACAGAGGAACAATGTCAATCAGCGGAGTCATACCATTCCGTTGATATCAGAACGGAACTTCAATTACAAGATACCACACAAGTTTCGGTTTGCAAAAAAAATTTCACTTACACCTATTAAATTCATATTTAAACAATTTTAAACTTAGATAAAAAATGATCATTTTTGGCAGAATTCTTGGGGATGGATGTGGAAAAACGTAACAGAGCGTCGGGAGGTGAACTCTTATGATAACTTTCATTTTCACTGTTATTCGTATTGCTAAATATTATTTTAGTTGAAATATTGATGCAAAATCAGTTGCACTCAGAAAACACCTATGTTACAAACATATATAATATATGCTATCGATTGGGTTTCTACAAGACCAACTACTTTTCCGTTTTCTATGCTTTTGCGTCGGTGGATCCGTATGCATATAATGCAAGGATGCTGTAGCAAGAGTGAAGATAACTATCCTGAGTAATTCAATAAATAGTCTTGCTGCACACTAACACAAATATATTTCTGTAACGTTTCGTCTGACCACGGTCAAGAAATCATGCCTAAAAATGTACATCAAAAATAATTAAACAATTACCATTTTTGTACTGTTTAAGTGTCATGAACCGTCATTTATTATTCATATGAGGTTGTTAATTAATCTTAACCTTAATTATCTTTTTCGATTTCGCTCGGAAAAATACAGAAATTCTTCAGTCCACAAATGCCCAATTTGTACTGCTTTTGGTGACGAATATTATTCTTAAACAAGTAAGTGCCAAAGTTCAAAAAACCTAACCTATTAAACTAACTTATTCTCAAAATACAATCTTTATACTACTAGACATATGTACCGAACGTGAATGCATGGAGAAAGATAGTGACAGAGCTGATTAATAAATACACTTTCTTGCATTGCAGAGATGCAGGACTCCTATGAGCATCCGTTCAGTTGCTTTACAGATAATTAGCATTATTTATTGTGCTTGCAGTGTGGCGGAGAAGGTCGGTATTGATTTCAACTAAATACTTTCCTGCTTTAATACAAACAAATATCAGTTTAACATTGTATTCTTAAATACTGTACACTCACCAAGCCTTGTACAGAAAGTTTAGTTAAAACACTCGGATTTTAATTATTGAGAAGATATTTCGATTTGCAATTTTCTCACATTAAATCTATAGAATTGTTCGTTCGTTATCATCTGCCAAGAGTAGGGATGTTTATCAACTCTTGACCGCAGGAAAATAGTTTCTAGACATCGACACAGAAATAAATAAGAAACTCGACCCTCTTGAAAACATGACATTGCATTCTTTTAAAAATTGTATGTCAAAAACCACGTTCCCATTTCTGACATCAAATCTTAGAATTTGGTTTAAAAAAGGAAGCGGGTTAGCTTTCCCGGTAACTTGGGAGCTTCCACGGTCACTTAGGAAATCAATTACTTTGTATTGATAGCGTAATGTGAAAAGACTTTCAATTCTTACTTTTCAGGTCCGAGGTATATATGGGCTCTCAGTCGTAATCCACATCTCACTGGAGAAGATATTCTACGCCTTCACAACAAGCTTGTAACAATCGGAGGTGGCTGGAACGCTGTTCCCTTGTTTTCATCCGACTGTCGTAAATTGAGCATGCCAGAAACAAATGCTCATTAAAATGCTAATGTCTACATATTTGTCAACCAAGCGTGTTTAGATTTACATATTAACAACGTATTATTTATATTATATATAATCGATGTTATACCATGCTGAACATATCGAAAATGTAACCCAGTAATCGCATACCTTATTTGAAAATGTAAATTATAAAATAAGTTTGTTATAACTAATGACATCGCCTGTAACTTTAGGACGGCAGAATAAAATTTCCAGAACATTTAACAGTAAAATTTAATAATTATAGTCAGATTTTGACTTTTCATTTAAAAAAAAGTCGTAGAGATTATGTTCGAAGCTAAACGCCTCATCCGGCAAATCGCAGTCCAAGTATCAGGCCAGACATTAACTTTAGATCAGACATATTACGCTACAGCAACAACGCATCCGAGTCAGACATTGGATTATTTATCAGTGACTTTTGAATGCGAATCTTCTGATGAAATTCGAAAGCATAACTTACAAAAATTTTGGACTGGTCTCACGTACGCTGCGCTTGTCCTATCTTGTTTAGCTGACTCGGTTGATACAGATATTTTTCAAAATGGATGCTTGGGTATAAATTGGCCTGTTTCTGTCCAAGCCATAACGAGCCATGTGTTTCTTTGTCGGAAAGGAATTCCTAGAACTAGGAAATGAACTATAATACAGGTCAACGCATCCGGTTACTGAACCAACGTTTCCCATTCGTTTCGTTTAGACGAGGGGCGTGCAACCTTTTTTACAGGAGGGTCAGATGCAATTAAACTGGGTGAAACTACGAACCGCACTTTTATATAAGCTTCCTAGTAGTAGTTCCACGCACATAACATTTGGTTAATGATCTCATGATATGCATTATTTGCTTGGCACAAGCTAGCCGTGCAGCCTTCTTTTGTGAATTCGTCAAGTCTCGCGCCTCACTTCAAAATTAACTAGCCAACAAAAAGCTACAAATATAAGATAGTACGGTGAAAGTATATATGTTTTATTCAAAACACACGTTGGAAATACGTGGATGGAACGTAAATATCAAAAATAGGAAAAAGTAAATATCCAGTATAAGGCGGACAAGATCAAATATCTTCACTTTTAATTAGCTTCACGCCCTCTCAAAAAATTGTCTACACGCGCCCCGCCGTCCGAGAATCACAGTGTTAGGGTATTGTGACGTCATAAGCACAAATAATAATTTTGATCGAGATATAGCCTTTGCAACGCAAATGTATTGGAATTACTCGCACCTACCAGATTAAACTCAGTTAAAAACATATTCCCTCTGGTGTGCACGTTGCACACTTCCGGTTTGAACAATAACTTCTTGACTATTTTTGGTAGGCCTGATAAAACGTACCCAGATTTATCAAATGTTTTCTGAGTTAATAATTGTTTACGGGAGAAAAATTGATGTACTGTTATGAACATAGCCTATATATCATTAATGTTCTGTAGATTGCTTACCGAATATCGGGTATGATTATGGTGGTTATATTGTTACCGTGGACTGACTTTTCTGTTTCTCATCCCTGGCGTGGATATGCAATATATCTTTTATAAACAAACTTAATGCTCGACTTAAGGAAAGGTGTAAATGGAACTTTTAAGTGAGAACTCACGTTTGACATGATTTTTCCTATGTATGAGAACAATGTTAATTAGTAGAGTCATACCCTTTCATGAATATCACAATGAAGATTCATTCCCAAAATTCGAATCACGTTTCGGTTTGTGAAAAATCTTACAATAAATGAAATTATGTCTCAAAACATTTTATGCATTTTCTTCTTCTTCAATAATTATTGTTATACTTAATCACGAGTGTCCCTGTTAGATACCCAGCAGTGTATTGCGTGGTTCACACAAAAATGCCATTTTTTGCGTTATTTTCGATATTTTGTTCGTGCAAAGTGTATTTTCAGAAGGGTGAAAAAATGAACTACTGATTACTTCGACAACAATTCATTATTCTCTTTTCAGAATTTTTGGGAGTAAAATGAGGCAGGTTTAATTGCTTTGGAAGGTAAATTCTCATTCCTACATAATAACTTTATATACAGGGTGTTAAAAAGGAAAAAGTAACCGAAATTAGGATGAAATGCTACTTAAAACATTAAAGACTGACACCTTTTAACAGTATTGAATTACGGTGAAATGCCATCTAAACATTTCACGACTGACGCTTTTTGACAGCTACTTTTTTTAACGTTGCCATGACGAAAAATTTTACCTTAATTTTGCGTAACTTTTTCAACGACCTGTATAATAGTTAATTATAACTAACAAACGTAACTCGAAATGAATATAACAATAACAAACAAACTTGCTGTTTTAAGTGGAATGAACTTCTATGTATGAAAGGTATTGACAATCTTAGGTCAAATAAATGCCAAAACTGCACTGCTTTTGTTGATAAATATTGCTGCAAAATAAAATTGTGCAAAAACCCCAATGTTAAACTCCTAATAAACGTTGTCTTACATTACAATCTTTGTACAACACGTGGTTGTCGAACGTGAATGCATAGAGGAAGATAGTGACGGAGCTGATCAATAAATACACTTTCTTGCAATACAGAGATTCGGTAGTTTTATGAACATCCGACGAGTTGCTTCAAAGATTATGAACATTATTTTTTGTGCTTGCAGTGTGGAGGAGAAGGTCAATATTGTTTTTCGCTAAACGCTTTCTGTCTGCAATGCAATCCGACCCTTGACCCCAAGACAACACTTCCTAGATATTGACAATGAAACAAACATGGAACTGGAACCTTTAAGAAACATTTATCGTATTACACTTTTTTCAAAATAGTAAGTTGTAAATCACTCTCCCTATTGGTGAAATCGAAACTGACAATTTCATGATCGGTTGGATACTGAAATTAGAGAAGGAAGCAGGTTTGATTCCGTAGTTACTTGGGAAATGCAGCAGTTGTTGCCATATTTAATCAAGAGATATGATTAACGCCGATCATTCTGAAATGGCAATGTACATCATATATGCTTTTCAGGTCCAAAATTCTTATGGTTCACAGTCGTAATCCACATCCAAATGCAGAAGACAGTAAGCTTGCTATAATCGGTGATTTCTGGAGCGCAGTTCCCTGTATCGGACTGTCGTAAATGTAACATGCTAGAAACCATTGCTTATAATGTCATTTTCTAAATTTTTTAACCTGGTATAAGAGACATCAGCAAGAACGCAACCAAGGAAGGCGTACACCGGATGTTACATCAGTTAAAATGCAGATATTTTGGTGAAACTTGCAAGAATGACTCACATTCTAAGTAGCATTTGAGGAAAGCGCATTCAAATACTGCTATTTGCCGAGATTTTCAATTTACTGTTATTCCCACTGGACATATTTTATCATTTCGTTTACGACAGTCGAACAAGTAATAATGATTTTGTCAAGCAGTTTTATCATTTTGATCGTCTGTTTATTGTCCAACCCGGCAGTTGGAAAACCAGGATATCGTCAGGAAAACGAAAATTGCGCGCTGCCTGTGTTTGATGAAGTCAATTATAATATGGTAAGCATTAATAAAAATTATTGAATTGAGTTGGAAGAACAAATGTTTGACGTTAAAATGAGTTTAATTTCACCACAAGCTGTATCATTTTAATTTTCCAGCTTTTGTAAAAATCTTGTATCACTATATTCCAGCTTCCTGATTCATGGTATCAAATTCTGAACACCAATGATCCAGTTGAACACGGAACGCCATGTTATGCATTCAAATATTTCAAAGAAACTGTCGACGGAATTTTTGCTGAAATCCAGGGTATTTCGTCAGCGGAAAAGTAAAAAAATTCAATATACATAGATAATTTATTATAAAAATGATTACCTATACCAGGGGTAGCCAACCTGCTTTTGACCCCGATCTACTAAAATCTTCAAAATGGATCGCACACACGCATACAAAAAATTTCACCGCTGCCAATAAGAAGGCTTTGTGAGTACATTGTTAATAAAATCGACAAATAATTCGTATTTTTTATGTACCATTTAAAAGTAGTTGATTTGGGTATTCAATTGTACCCGGATTAAATGTTTCATTATTTATTTAAGATTTATTTAAATCATACAATTCAGATAAAGGACGTAAATAATTTTTCGTTGAATGTGTTGAAAATTCTTTAAGAAACTTTGCCAAGTATTCATGTATTATCCAATTTTACATAACTATACTCAAACTGCGGTATCTAATTTACAATTTCCTTTAAACGCGATTCTTTGCTTGTTTAGAATTAGAACAAATTGGGCATTTCGATGCCACCGCTACCATTGCGAAAAAAATTTATTACACTACTTTTGGAGTGAGACAATACCTTTCGCATACTGCGGAAATTATTGTAGGATCGTTTGTCAGTCTAGACACGCGATATTCGGCACTTCGTTTTTGAACCTCGGCAGCGGAAAAACTTGCATTTGTTACGTAATAATATGCTTTACCGGCTTGCCCAGACTAAAATACTGTACCTTCCTTTGTATATTGTATTTTGCGCATGTAAGTAAAGTACTGTATTCTTCTTGTTAACTGATTCGGGGCAATTTGGAGGGTATTTCAATAAAATTCACTCAACATCAGAGGCGATCTACTGCTCGAGTCGTGATCGACGATTTGTTGGCCATCCCTGACCTATACCAATCGATTTTGATTTGTACTGTCAAATACATGTAGGTAATAACTAGTGCTATCCCCTAGCTAAGGTATGGAGTGATATTGTGCGATCCAATGTGTGGTAATGCCAGAAATACTTAATAAGCCCGATCCCAAATAGTCCATCCAACATTTGTTGCTTTGAATTTATTGCATTATCGCAGTAATGAACATCGATGAGTCAGTTTATTACAATATGTACACACAATTTGATCTATTTAGTTGACTTACTCCAAATTTAACTTAATGCAACCAAATTTCAACTAAATAAACAAAAACAACATGAAAAATAGAATTTGCAAAATAATAAATTCCAAAATCTAAATGACGGAGGTGCGAACACTAAAACCACAGAAAGAAGAGAGTGACGTGTCGGAGAATTTACGGGTGCCAGATTATCGGTCAGAATATACAGCCAAGTTGGTTCAATAAAATATATATTTGGGACTCATCATGTATGAACCACGGGAGTAATACGTGGAATTAATTAATAGAATCAAAATTTGGATAAGAAATTAGTTCATTTAACCGAACATGAATCTACTGTGCTTATAAAATTAAACAATAACCGCAAGACTGGCACGACTATTAAAAGAGATATTGCGAAGGAATTTTTAGCACAGAACCTGTTGCCACTATTAAAATGGGTAAACATTTCTCGAAAAATTTCTCAACCGGATATCCGATGAATTAATATTGTGAGTGGAATACGATATAACGTTTGTAAATAAATGACCAATTCGAATAAAGTATTCGAATGTATTCGGATATTTGTGTGACGTCACACATTTTCGACGCCGCTTTCAAGACGTTTCCGTTGAGTGAAAACATTCTCGATAGGAACTTGCGCGCGACTGCTTTATCAGCGGACGTGTTATTTAGGCCGTAAACGCCCTTTCGTTTGTGTTATTTTCTCTAAGAGACATTTTCCACAAATTTGTTCTACGATAACAATGACAATTATTGGACACGTTTAGTGGCCATAACGATCGTTTCAAAATTTTGTTGTTATTGTTATTTTATTTCGTCATTATCATTAAAAAAATGCTTTTCTCTTCGAATACTGGACCAATTGCTTTGAAATTTCCAGTGGTGAAAGATAAAACTTTTCTCCAGAAGGCTATTACCCTTTTTTTCGCTATGACGTCATCAAAATTATTTCCATTGGGTGGCGCTACGTGTCCATATATTTGAGCATAGCTCTCTCGTTTTATTTTTGTACTCGCACAGAATTGTGAATCCGGCGAATACGTTCATCGGGCGGCGAGTTTCTAAAGAAAACGCGAACTTTTTGATTGAAAAGCAACAATTTAAAATACTAAAAATAATACCGTAAACAAAATATGTTTTATTGAAGCCCGCGACAGTTTAAAAAACGCTTTTCTAGGCAGTGAAAATCGTAAAATTTCCACATTATGTTTGGTCCGCGTTTAGAAACATATCGTCACTAATTGAGGGCGGGATTTGCCTGATTATCCATTACCCTAATTAAATTCCCGTGTTAACATTATACACAAGGTTTAAAACGCGACTTTTACCGGGTTGTGAGAATGTATATAATTTAATTAATCTAAAGTATATTCAATCAATTTTTATCGTGCTGAAATAAATTTTACTCTGAGATTTTACGGCAGATTTATGGATTTTTCGAATGGTTTTATCTCAAAAATAATCGGAGTGGCGACATTTCGATTGATACGGATCAAAACAATATATAATCTGGCAGTTTACCACACATTTTATTTTTATGTCCGCGGATTGCCATCGCATATTAGAGTGGAGATAATTTTTTTTGTCGACGCAACCGCAGGTTAAATTGAAAACAATTAAATTAATAAAACAAGACATTTTAAATATGCCCGTATCGGTCACGAATCAATAACTTTGCACAACAGAAAAATATATATTCGTTGTTATATTATTCGTTGTAAAAGTCGGCTCTTTTAACAGGTGGAGTAATCGCGGCGATGAGTATGTATTTTTAATTTACTGCTAAACTTTATATGTATATTCATTGTATGAAATGAAGTTGTACTTTGCAGGATTTTATATCAGTTATTAGGATTTTTCTAACGGCGATAACGGCAAGATTGCAAAAATACGTATTAAAATTAAATACATCAGGCAGTTTATCTCGTACATTTAGGCCACAGATCGCCGTGGACCAAATAGTAATGTTTTTATTTTGACGTAAGAAGAAGCAATCGCGAGTTACGTTGGACACATTGAATTAATATACAAAGGTATTTTAGAATCTCGTAGTTGTCATGGATTAAATAATCTACGTGATAGGATGATCATTATACGCTGAAAAGATGGCTCTCTTAACGAGCGCGGAATCGCGGTGGATGTTACAGGCGGCAATGGGAATTTCCGAATTTAAAAATCCTGGCTGCGCGCCTGGCAGTGGTGGTCATCTATAACTTATTGCTAATTTCAGACTTAACAATATTCTAAACATAATAATCACAAACTATCAATTACTTTATATACATATACTGTTGGTTTGTGGCTTTACTCTGATATTTGTATTGAAGCTTATTTCCTATTTTACTTTGTTTTATAAACTAAAACAAAAATTTGTGTTATTTTCGATTTTAGAATGTATTCGGAATTCCAGATTCGAAAACATTATTTTAGAATATATTCGGAATAGTTTAGTATTTGGAAATGGCCATCCCTGAAAGAAAGTTACAAATGAAAGTTTCAGCTTTTGTGTAAGGGCTTACGATTAACATGATTTTTCTATGCAGAGGTACAATGTCAATCAACGAAGTCATACCATTCCGTTGGTACCACAATGGAACTTCAATCATAAGATTTGACACAAGTTTCGGTACGTAAAAGAATTGTACTTATGGTTTTTAATATTTGAAATATTTCAACTTTTCTACAAATGATCATTTTTTGCAGAATATTTGTGGCTAAATTGGGCAAAACACAAAGGAGCAGGTGAACATGCTTTCGAAGGTGAATTATTATGATAACTTTTATTTTCACTGTAATTCACATTGCAAAAAATGTTCTAGATCAAAAATCAATAAAATCAGATGTACTCAGAAAACAGTTTAGCAAAAAGCAAATATATATATAATAGGGCGATCATAACAAAAACATGTAACTGAAAATGAATATATTAATGAATTTTTTTTTAATATAATAATGAATTGTTATTTATCTTTCACAATGAGTTGCATACGCTTCAATTTTTTAGCTGCATGGGGAAGATGCTTTTGGTGATAAATATATATACCTTTTAAACAAGATAGTGCCAAAGTTAAAAAAAAAAATTGTGTTGAACTCTTAATGAACAAACGTAATCTTAGAATGTAATCTTTATACTATATATCTGTGCCGAACTGGAATGCATAGAGGAAGATAGCGTCAATGCTGATCCATAAAAACCTTTCTTGCATTGCAGAGATTCACTACTTTAACGAGCATCCGATGAGTTGCTTCACAGATTATGAGCATTATTTCATGTGCTTGCAGTGTGGTGAAGAAGGTCAGTATTGGTTTCAGTTAACCATTTCCCGCTGTAATACAATCAAATATCAGTATAATATCATACTATTATATAGGTCCATTAAGATTTTAATTATTGGAAAGATATTTCGATTTGCAATCGCCTTATATAAAATAGATTACCGGAATTATCGTTCGGTATCATCTGTCAATAGTATGGATGATTTGTCGACCCTTGACCCCACGAAAATATTTTTTATAGACATTGACACACAAATAGACATATAATTCGAACCTCCGGGAAACATTTATCATATTGTTCTCTTTTCAAAATAGTAAGATAAAAATCACGTTTTCCGTTGGTGGAATCGGAACTGACAATTTCATGATCGCTTTGATTGAATATTAAATCAGGTTTGCTTCAATGGCCACATAGGAAATGCAGCTCTTGGGGCAATTTTTTTTAATCAAAAGATTTCATTGATCTAGATCATTCTGCATTGACACAATGTAACATAATAAATGCTTTCCAATTCACTCTTTTCAGGTCCAAGGTATATATGGGTTCACAGTCGTAATCCACATCCCACTGCAGAAGACATTCTACGAGTGCGCAAAAAGCTTGTTACAATCGGTGGTGGCTGGAGCGCAGTTCCCCTGTACTCATCCGACTGTCATAAATTTAGCATGCCTGAAACAATTGCTTACTAAACTGTTAATGTCTAATATTTGTTAACGAAGTGTATTTGTATTTACATAATATAAATATTTTTTCCGTTATATGTAATTGGACACGTCAGTGTACATAACGATCGTTTCAATATTATGTTGTTGTTCTTGTCAGTATTATTATTCCTCTCTTTCATGATGATGTCATGATAAAATCGCTTTTCTCTTCGAATACTGGACCAATTGATTTGAAATTTTCAGTGGTTCAAAGTTGATTTTTTTTTACCAGAAGTCTTCTACTTTTACTGATTTCAAAATTTTTTTGGACTTCAAGAGATTTGTTTTTAATGTGTCAGAATGTAAAATAGCGACACCTTGTGACGTGTCCATATATTAGAGCACAGCTCTGAAGTTATTGATGTTATGCAATGTTAACGTAACCGATTCATCGTTTATTTGAAAATATATGTTTTTATTTCACATAATTCCAATATGAAAAAAAACTCTATTTGGTATACCTATCGAGGCCATTTAATGAAGCGTCCGTAATTGATCATTTTAACTGTGTAGTTAGTAACACTATCTTTTCAATAATCTTTTGTCAGAAAATAAGATAAACGCTCATACAGCGAAATAAAATTACTATAACGTTGACCTATAATACAATAATAGTCACCTTTTGCCTTTAATTGATGAATTTAAATAGTAACTATGTATTTTCATACGTCCATTGTTGAAAGCAGTTTCACTTTAGGCCGACAAATAAAAATTACTATAACATTTAACAATTATAGTCATCTTTTTCGTTTGCGAAAAACTTAAGTCGTGGGGACTATGTCTGAAGTTGGATTCAGCTACACGTCTCATATGCTCAATCGTAGACTGTGTAGTAGGCCAGACTCTGACTTTGGTTCTGAGATATCGGGCGACAGCAAAAGCGAAATCGAGGCGCACACCGGATAAGTTTGAATGCGGTTCATTTGGTGAAACTCGAGAGATCACCTTATCTAAACTGTTGTTGTTGGTCTGGTTTTACGTTCATTGCACCATCACATCTACATGACATTCCGTCAGGCTTGTCTAGTCTTTTTTGTCCGACTCGACGGAAGAGATGTGTATGCGACAAGTCTGTAAACCCTGATTTAGGAAAGTTTAAGCAACCAAGTACTACAAAATGAATATAGACTTATAAGGAAACAATATTACAGCGCGAGCAATATTATCTCATATTATCGTCAATTGGAATTATTTCGGATTTTTTATAACCTCGGATGAATATTTTAAGCGGTAATTTCTGACTAAAGCGCGGCCCATTTCACTAATATTAGTTCACATAAATTTTACATAACAAATAAATGTCTCACTCGGTGAATTTGTTGTCGCATTGAACGTGAACGGTGGAGATACTTGCATTTAGGACCACTTCATCCGAGTATTTCCACATCTGCATTCTAGGGATTCATCAGTATATCAAACGCTGCCATAAAAACAATGCATTATATAGCTACCACAGCCTACACTATTGCATTTATCAAAGCCAGTCTCCACAGGTAAGCTGTTCAAGGCAGAGCAATCACATTTCGGAAATAAATTTTCACAAGTGGTACATCTAGCAACATCATTTTCACCACTATTTCACCAACACCATTACAGCATGGTGTAAGTGGCATAGCTGTGTCACAGTCATTGCATTTAACATTTCTATTTTTTATTTGCTCTTCACTTGCAGCAAAGTATCCATTTTCTGTGCAGCATTGTTTAATAACTTCGTACCTAATATCACAGCCGTAGCAAATAGCCTCTTTAGCGTTGTCGTCCATTATTTCAAGTTTTTCTTCACATACAATACATCTTGGTATATCAATGTTTACTATATCGAGTTTTGGTCTAACATTTGCCAAATGTTTTTTCTGATCAGGCGATCTGCATCTTTTGACTTCAGATTGTTCATTGACCTCCATTGGTGTATTTGAAGGAATCAATTCACAATCGTTCGACCTAACACTTTTTTTTCATTGGCACCAGGTCCGTCAGTAGTTGGCATATAGTCTGCTAAAGTAACAACACTTGGTGTACTAATATTATCATTGTTGTGGTTGTCATGCTCGACTGCATTTTCATCATTGTTATCAGTGGTTAGTATTTCCATTTGTGTTTTATCATTTTTTCTCATCAATGTTTGTTCATCAGGGAACCTGTCTTGCTTTTTCAAAGTGTTTATAAATATTTTTTGCTATGGGCACTCTGATTTAAAATGTCCGACTCCATTACATTTCATGCATGTTTGTTGCTGCCCGCGATATTTAACATATATCATGCACCCTTCTACATAGATGAAACTTGGTATGGTATGTTGCTGAATTTGGCTTGTAGGCACTGACACATACATCCAACCATTCAAAATACCATCTTCATTTTTTGCCTCCTGAATGTCAGAATCTAGATGTTTCACAAATTCTAACAAAGCTGAACGAAGTTGCTGTTTCTTAATATGCCCTGGAATCCATGATATATTTACTGTTGCATTTTCTTCAACATATAAAAACCATTTGAATCCAACTATATTCTGCTGTTTCAGGTAATTATCTAGTGATAGTATCTCTGCTCTAGTGCAGCATGTGACATCGACTGTATGGTATGGTCTCACGGCTATACTAACAATTTGCTTAGTTGTAACACCATTAAGTACAATACTTTTCGCTGTCGCCTGCAGTTCTTTTTCCAACACATCCGGATGATTTCTTTCAAACTTCATTTGTAATCGATGAGGGGTGGGTATGACCATGTTGACAGCTTTCCTCTTATCTCGAGCAATCGGAACTTTCTTCGCCACCCCATGTTTCACCGCTGTAGAATAAGAATTCATATTATAGGTACTTTTAGGCTTAATATACAGCGAATCTCTTGCCGCATTCTGCTCCACTTCTATATGTCCGGTTTCTCGGCCTCGCTTGTGTTATATATAGGCTTTGGTTTTATGTACGTTGCGCTACCACGTGGTTTGCCTTATATTTTCCGGCTGACTCGGTCGGTTGCGCTTATAGGCATGCGACGATGAGACCGCGCGTCTCATTTGTGGCAATTTCTGGCGTTTAAACAGACAAATACTATGAAATGAATGAAGTTTTAGGAAACATCAATATAGAATAAGCAATATTACATCATACTGTCGCTAATGGGATGTATTTTGGATGTTTCTTAACCTAAATGGGATTTATTTTCATTTTTATAGATAGAATATAAATTTCACATAACAAATAAATGTAATATTCGTTAAATTGGACATCGCATTGAAGATGGTGACGTTATCTCGATATTGGGGCCTTCATACGAAGTTAGGCACTTTGAAGGTAGTGATTTGTGTGCATGTATTTTAGGTTTATTTGAGTTCATATCTTCGAGCATTTCTCCTTGATCTGTCGTAACTTTGTATTTGCCTGAATTGACAAGATCAATCTTATTCGATAACAGATAATCTCGTAACGTCGGTATTTTGATTTTACATGGACTGAACATGTAGTGGAAACGTGCGTAATGCATTACTCAACATAAGTACGTGAGGAAAACGTAGAAGAGTATACTCCCTTTTGCCGACTTTCTCGATTTAATGTTGATTTATCAGGGCAGTTTTTCTCATTTCGTTTAGGGCTTTCGAACTAGTAACAATGGCCTTCTCGAGGTGTGTCTTTATTTTGATCATTTGTTTGTTGTTCAACCCGGCTGTTGGAAAACCAGTATACCGTCGTGAAAACGGAAACTGCGCATTGCCTGTGTCTGATAAAATCAATTATAATATGGTAAGCATTAAAAAAATTATTGGATTGAGTTGGAAGAACAAATACTTGACGATAAAAGGGTTTTAAATTACGCCACGTACGTATGCGTATATAACTATTTAGGAATGTATATATTCTATACTGAAAAAATTGATTAATCATTTAACCACGTAGCCTTTAGACAATTTTCCAGCTTCTTCTGTAAATATTTGTATCACCACATTTGCAGCTTCCTGATTCTTGGTATCAAATTCTGAACACCAATGATCCAGTTGAACGCGGTGTGCCATCCCATGTTATGTGATCAAATATTTTAAAGAAACTTTTGACGGAATTTTTGCTGAAATCAAGCGTATTTTATCAGTGGGAGAGTAAAGAATTTTGATATACGTGGACAATTTATTATAAAATTGTCACCTGCTAATGTGTTTCGGTATGCTATGTCCTATAGATCTTCGGAGGTATAGAAGTTATGTATAAGTGAATGTATGAATAAGTATGTTAACCGGTGGCGTTAACACCTGACAATATTGAATAGATTTGGACGGATAGAGATAGGTGAACTTTTGAAATAGGGACTTTAAGATCCAAAATCTGGTTATGCACCCAGTTACTGAGCTGACGTTTCTCCCATCTAAGTCTATCACTTTTTTCAGTAGAAATTCTGACTAGTTTTCTGAATAAGGGCTTACGTTTGGCTTGATTTTTTTCTATGCAGAGGTACATTGTTAATCAGCGGAGTGATGCCAGTGCATTGTTATCACAGTGATACTTCAGTCAGAAGACACGACGCAAGTTTCGGTTTGTAAAAAATTATTTATCCCAATGACCATTTTTTGCAGAATTTTTGAGGGTAAATGTTGGGAAACATACCGGAGCAGATGATAATGCTATAAAGGGTAATTTTATTTTATATTTACTAATATTTACATTGCTAAGATACATTATAGATAAAAAATTGATCCAATCAGATGTACTTGAAAACACCTAGAAAGCAAATATATATAATAAGGCAAGCATACTTAAAAATGTAACTTAAAATGAATTTACAGTAACGAAGAATCGTTTTACTGCTTCAAGTGCCACTAAATGTTATTTAACTCCCACAAGACGTTGTATATACGCTTTAATTCATATTTTCGGATTGGCTGTAAAAGATACAGACATTTTTCAGTCCGTGCCTAATTTTCACTGCTCTTGGTGATGCCAAGGTCCAAAATGCCTCAATGTTGAACCCCTAATATACAAACGCATTTTCAAGAAGCAATCTTTTTACTAGACATCTGT